TTCTATTTTATCTATTTTAGCAGATTGATTTGTTCTTTTAAATAGTTTATTTTAATATTATACTTTATATTTATTTTTATTAAAGATTTCAAATCTTTAAAATACTTAGTAAGATAATATTTTTTGTAATCTTCTTCTATTTTTAAATTTGATGGGAACTTCTTAACTATCTAACTGGTTCAACAGTTTGCAAAACAGGTGCTTGTACTCTTTGGAATTGAATTTTCTTTCTTAATTTTTCTATCTTAATATCAGAATTAAATTTCTGTTTTACTAATGCCTCATTAATTATTTTTGTATATTGGATGTAGAAGAAAATACTAATTGTGAAATTTCCAATTGCAGAATTACAGAAGCTTTTTTTATTTTAGAATTATAAGAAGATTGTTAAGAAACTTGACCTTTATTTAAATTTGATATATATTTTAGCCACATGTTTTTTAGCTCAATAAAAAATACATTAATATCTACTAGATAGTAATTTTCATCTATATATAAAGTTCACCTGGTAAATGACTTTAAGAAATTCTAATACTTGTGAATTGTTATTAGCTACTTTTAATAAAAGAAGTTGAATTCTAGTTTTGTAAATATCTGAAGTATCATATATTTGAAATTTTTTTTTGAGCTAATTTTTAAATTACAGATTGTTTACTTTTTACTGTTTTAAGTAAAAGGATTATTAACTAGTACTAAAACAAACTTATCTCCTATTTTACTTTTTAAGATATCTCATTTAACAGTATTATTAAAATCCCCTATATTTATATATTCAAGAGTTATCATTTGAAATACTGTAATAGACTATGCTTGTTCTAATATATTTATATAATCATTAGGCTGTATTTATCTTATATATTATGAAATTGGTTAAAAAGATTAATATATTAATTTTAATACTAGTCATCATTTACCTTTTATTATATTTTGTGAATTATTTTGTAGTAATAAAATTTGTTTCTATAAATTTAAAATTAATTGCTCAATATTTCATATTCTATTTTTTCACTTATCTTATTTAAGATTAAATTAAATATCACATAAATGTAAATCATTTTCTAATATATCTATTCTGATATGAAATTTGTTGTAATTTTAAAAAATACTATTAACATGTATTTCTTTTATTATTATATGCTATTATTATCAAGTTAAAATTATTTAAGGCTTTAACTAAATTGGTTTATTACAAATCTTATTTTGCTTCAGTATTATATCAATTCTGTTATTTATTTATTAGATAAGTTTGATTATTAGTATATTTTCAATAAATCTACCTTGGAGCTCTTTTTATTTAATTAACTAGAATGGATCTGTTTATTCTAGTATTATTTAAATAGCTATCTATGGTATTAGTTAATTCTGATATATCAAAAAATTTAATTAGATATAGATTTACGGAAATATCACATGACCTCCAGAACTCTATACCTGAAAAATTTAATTTTTTAACTTTGGTCAAGATTTAGGTGACAAGAAGTAATTTTCTACTAAGATATTTCTAAGATAAATCGAAAGCCCTGGTTTTGGCTATAAGATGATATATGTTTCATAACTATAGCATCAGTATTTGTGAAAAATTTCACATTTAAATTCAAACGTCCGTGAAATATTTGAATTTAAATGTGAAATTCTTCATGAATATCAATGCTATAGTAATGAAACATATATTATCTTGTAGCTAAAAACCAGGACTTTCAATTTATCTTAGAAATATCTTAGTAGAAAATTGCTCACTGTTACCTAAATCTTGACCAAAGTTAAAAAATTAAATTTTTCAGACATAAATTTTCAGAGGTCATGTGATATTTCCATAAATCTATACCTAATTAAATTTCCTGATGTATTGTAGTTATATTTGAATCAGAAGTATTACTATCTTAAGAATTATTGTTAGAATCTTCTTCTAAATTTGATTTATTATTTATGTTTCATATCTCAGCAATATGTAAAATTTCTTGAATGTTAGTATGTTCTAATTTATTTCAATAATATAATAACTTAATATCAAAATTTTAACAATGTAAATTAATAATGTGAGTTTTTTTCTGAACTAATTTTTTGTCTCAATTTTTAAGATTATAATTTAAAATATCAATTTCATATTTGAGATGTTCATTCTCATCTATTAACTTTACCATTTGATTGTATGCTTTAGAAATATTATTTGCAGATTTTAATATTTTTTGAATTCAGATTTTAAGTTTTTTTTTCTCTTACATTAAATTTAACTAATTGATTTTCTCTGTTAATAAGTTCTTTATCTTTTTGTTTGATTTCTTTTTTAAACTGATAAATAATTTTTTTTAAATTTGTAATCTTTTTTTCTAGTTCTTCTCTTTCTTATATAGAAAGTTCAACTATATTTATTAGTTTTTTCTCAAGATACTAGATTTTTTCTTCATGTTAGACTATATCTCTTTTAAGGTTGTAAGTTCTTTGTTCATAGTCTCTGTTTGATTAAGCTAATTGATCAATTTCATTATGAAGTTCTTAATTAGCTTGATATAATTTATTCATGTTTTTTTATTTACTGTAATAATAAAAGTTATAAGTGAACCTATAATTTATATTGACTTACAAAAAGCTTATGATCTTGATTGTAAAATTATTTTACAGAAATTATATTACTAACTTGAAAAGTACAATCAAACTGTTGAAAAAATACATAATACTTCTTATATAGCTGGTTATAATTTTTCATTAACAGATATTAAAAACTAGTTAAATAAAAAGATCACTTTTTTGATTCATAAATTCAAACCTAAATTTATTCAATATACTTTTTTTAATAGTATATGAGATTTAAATGAAATATATAAATTAGATCTTACTTCTCTTTTTTTCAATAATATTAATAATTAAATTTTCAAATATAGAGATATTATAAAAGATGTGACAACTAGATTTTGTAAAAGTTGTGCTTTAACTAATAAGTCTTTTACATCATTTGCTAAAATGTTTAAAGTAATTTATAGTAATCTTAATAATTATCTTATATGATCAAAAGTTTTAATTGTAGATAAAGATATTGAATACTTAGGTAAATGTAAAGATTTATTACTTAGTCATAATGTAAAAATTATATAAGCTAAATCTAAATGTAATATATCAATAGCTAAACATTATCATCAAGAATTTGAAAAACATGTTTATATATATTAAGATACTGTTGATTTTTATTTACTATTAACTGAGAAATGTAAATATAGGTTAAAGGTCTTTATATTAATGATAATATTTATAATAATACTCTTATTTGATTAATTCATATGTCACCTAATGAAATTGTAAAGAGGACATTAAAACGTGAAAAAATAATTGCTAATTTATTTGTAAAATATTGAAGACCTATTAATTTTAATGAACTTTGATTAACTTATAAAGATTTATTTTTTATTTACTTGAACCTGGAGAATTAGAATTTAACAAAAGATAAATAACTGATATAAATTAATCTCCTAAAGTTTTCTATATTAAAAAAGCATTAATTAAAAAAAATCAATCAAAATTATACTAATTTATGAATGAAAATGGTGATGGATCCGAGAGATCATTTGTGAGTGAACAACTGATGAAAATTGGAAAGATTAAATATCCATCAAATAGATATTTAATAATAATTAGATTTTTAAACTATAGATTTTTTGAAAAATATCATCTACTTCTTTTTTGGATCTTTTTTTTTACAATTTCTTCTTGACTAGCTAATTTGAAATATAATTTATATAAATTTTTAAAACTAACATATACTTTTTTATTATATTAATCTTTGAAATCTGCTATTCTTTCATTATAAGTTTTCTCATTTGGGATGTGTTGTTTTGTAACATATCTAATATGATCTTCTGGATCTCTTTTCATTGTAAAGTTTTAAAATAGTTTACATACATTGCTCCTGTTTTGTTATATTTTTTGGTACCTTGGCTATATGTTATTCTAATTACTTCAACTAAGCAAATTCAATATCTTTATGATTTGTTATTTTGAATATTGAACTTTTTATTATATAATACTTAATCAGATCTTTTGTTTAAATAAAAAATATTTCTTTTATCTATGTCTGAAAAATATACCTGTGATTATTTACACAACTCTGGTAAAGTTTGTAGACGTGATTGTTGATGACCTGAAAGATGCCATGAACATTGGAGATCTAAAAAACATGTTCCCTACAAAGTTTATAGTAAACTGATTTCTTCTGTATCCAGAATGTGTAAAAAACATACTGGTGGATTTTATGTTTTACAGTTTTATACTTGACAGCTTTGCAAAAACACTGCTTCTTCACCTACTTTCTCACAATAACCTGTTTTCTTATTTTACCTTTTTACAATTCTTGCTTAAAGTTAGATTTTAATTAGGTTAACTGTTTTTCTTTTTCTAAACTAGAAAGGAAAAAGGTTCTGAAGTTGTAAAATTCATAAGAAAAACACTGTACAGGAAAGCTTTCAATCTGATTTCTTAATTAGTTTTTTTCTCATGTTCTCAAGAAAGTACTAAAAAAATCAAAAAACTGTAAATCTCAAAGGTGTAAAAGTTTGAATATATTAGGTTTGCAAATATTTAAAAAACTCAAAAACAAAACCATTAATTTTAGTTATCAAAAGACCTAAAATATAGCAAACTAGATATCAAAAAATTACTATTTAAAAAAACATTAAAAGACCTTAAAACTTCAAACTATTGATTTTGAAAATTATAAAAAATTAAAAATATTTTAGCTATACATTGATTTCTGAATATTAAATTTTTTATATCAATTTAAGAATTCTAAAACCATAAAATTCACAAAAAATACTCTATAAAAGAAAACATTCAATCTGATTTCTTAATTAATTTTTGTCTTATGTTCTCAAGAAAGTGTTAAAAAAGTTGGAAAAGTGTAAACCCCAAAGGTGAAAAATTGAGGAACACAAAATAAAAAGTCTGCTCACACTCCCTGCTGTTTAATTTTATTAATATTAATTATTAAAAATGTAATTATATAATCAAATTAACTATACCTTTAAAAATGTATTAATGACTACTGTAACTGATTTTGTACTATGAACATTCCATTCAGCATGTCCTTCCTTCCAAGCAACAGTGTAATTTACTTTTGAATTAGATTTATATTTTGTTTCACATTTAACTATTCTTTTAATAACTGTTTTAATTATATAGTTATCAGGTATCCAATATTGAGGTATATTATCACAGTTTGTTTTTTGAGTTAATTTTGGTGTTATGGGATAAGTTCCTAGGGCAATAACATTATAATATGAATTATATGTTTATCCTTTTGATTTATATTGAGCTTCAATTCTTGGACTTTTTGAATAATCATGTATAAAAGTACAACTGAAGAAAGAATTTGCTAATAAAAGAATTTTAGAGTATTTTAAAATAGAATAAAACAGATAAAATAAATAAAATAATATATTTAAACAAACACTTTCTAAAACTTGATTTTCTATTCTACACTCTCGTCATCTACATTACGATTTTCTTTATCAATACCACTTTCTATACCTTGAACTTCTACCATTAGAATATTGATTTTCAACTAGTTTTTATGTTTTACAAACAAAAAATATATTTATTTATTATTTTTTTCATAGTTTTAATACAAATAAGAGATAGCTTTACGTACTGATTTCACAGACGATTCTACTGAAAACAGATTCCCAACGGATTCCTAAGACACGATTTCAATGCAAAAACTTTTTAATATCACATATTTGTCACGTTTTAGTCATGTGTTAAAACCAAAATTCGGGATAATCACTAAAATTTAATTAGTGATATGAGACAAATCGGCCCATTTGGAATGATTTATACTTCCAAGAGAAAGTGAATATTTTTATAATCAAGAAATAACATGCATTAGAGTTTCATCATATATTGATTGTATCTTAAATCAACTCTATATTCTTCATAAGATATCCTACATAAATTCAATTTGATTCTTAGAAGTAGCAGAGATGGATTTTCTCCACAGACTCTTTGGGACATGTTCCATGATTATGCGGTCATCTTGAAAATCAAAGAAACAGATGAAATTATAGGAGGATATAATCCCTTAGCGTGGAATAAATATGTTGAATTTGTTTATATGAAAACAGATAATTTCATATTTTCATTGAAAAATGGAAATATGTAAAAAGATCCAAACATACATTTTATAATTGTCCTAATATTATTTTTCACTTTATTGGTTATATGGTGGATATAAATAGGTCTGCTAAGTTTTTTCCAAAAGGTTTCTTTATGATTAATTATCAAATTTTATATTTTATTTTTCGTATGAACCACGGATATATATTTATGTACACATGCTATTTTGTATAAATATTTATAATTTTATTTATTTATTGAAATTAAACATAGCTTTGGGACGTATGTAAATTTTTCAAATATCTAAAGAATTAACACCAATTAATTAGTACCTTCTTTTATGCATCTTCCTAATTTTAGTAATAAACAACTCTTTCCAATTCATTCTTTTTGAATGATTTCATCCCATTAGTACATCATCTTCACAAAGCGACTTATAATTAATTTCGATAATAAAGGTAAATATATAATTATTTTAGCATAGATATAATTTTTGGTTGATTTATTTATCTTTGACATTAATCATGATAAAGAATTTACGAAAATAAATTTACATAAGAAAGAAAGAATGATTATTTTATTTAATTTTCTAGTACTGATTTTCCATTATTGCCTGTATCAAAGTCAAAGTTTAACCATATAACTTTAAAGGATATTCTCTTTTTTTTTTTTTTTGATTTTTTCATTCAATCTTTCGAAATAAATCATTAATAGTGGGTAGTGACTTTTTTATAGCATTGCATTGAAAACGCGTGCAGATCACTCTGATTTTGAGGGAGAACATATTTCGGATGTTCATTGATACATAGTTTTGAATTAGTAGAATCAATTAAAAAAAAGGTTGAGAGCTAAACGTATATCAAAGATCAAAGATGAGTAGAATCATATACAAAGGATTCATTGAGTATGCCAATTTTGTCTACACAATAATTGTATGTAAGTTATTGTTGATTTAGAGAATTATTTTGTTTAAATCTTTCCAAGAAATAATCTTTATTAAATAAAAAAAAAATAAAATACAAAATCAGGGAGTATTTTATGTTTCCTCACCTAGGGAAAATAGGGAAATGGTATTTATTTTATTTTAGTCATCGATATTCATTGTTTACATTTTATCTTGTTAAATTTAAGTTTATTAATCGGATCATTTTACATAAACAAAGATTTCAGTAATGAGCTAGTAAATAATTAAACTAATTTAACATATATTCAATTTATATCTAACTGGTCGACAATCTTATTAATATTATTAAATTCGAAGTTGCAAAAACGTGATTTAACATATCGCCCTCGCCTTATTGTTATTGATAAATTATTGATAAGTGTACAACGATAGCAAAATTAAAGTATTTATATTTAAGATTTCGAAATTCAAAGAATACTTTCTCACAATTCGGAGTGAGAACCAAAATATTTTTTTAACATCAAGCGCATCCAACACATCAAACACGTTAAACACAACACATCAAACACACAAAACCCACAAACACATATCAATATGTAAGGGTTGAACATAATTTTTCAAAAAATGGAAATCTTATTTATTTTCTTTTTACAATTATTAATTCCTTATCTCCGAATTCATAGATATAACATTCAAAAAAAAACTTAATTCTATTAAAACGCCTTTCTACGTAATACACGCGTAATACACACACGTAATACACGTCACGTAGTGGTAATAATACAATGAACTTTAGAGAGAGAGTACAGGAACCAAATATCACATGGATGAAACTAAGTTAAATAATTGTCCTCATTTTTTTTTCTCATCTAATGCTAATTACTCAATATTTTTAATTTGCATAAAAGTTGAGTTTTATTTAACGGAAAGGAAATATAAATATATGCATATTAATTATTTCATTGTATTAATTATTTCATTGAATTAGATTATTCATTTGTTCAATAAATTTCATGTTTAACAAAGTGATGTTGTTGGTGTTTCAGTTGATGTTGCAGTTGTTACCGTTACCACTACTTCTTTCCGTTGTTGTCGCTGTTTTGTTACTTTCATTTCTGCCTTTTTGTTTTGTTTTTTTTTACATTTTACATGCATTCTTTACGCATTAACAACAATGGATTACATTGTTTTTTGCTTATACACAAAATGTCTAACACGTCTACACACGATTTTATTAAAATTTTTAAATGCATCATGACGTTATATAATTATTTTCGGTAATTTCCTAAATTTATTCAAAAAAATAATAATTATTACTAAATAATCATTATTACAGTAATCCATACATATAAATGACTAAAAATAATTTAATAGTATTAATTATAATAATAATAATAATAATATTATTATTATTATTATCCGTTTAATGGTAGAAAATCCGGAAAGGAAATGTAAATGAAAAAAAAATAAGGCATGAAGTAATGAAATTTAGAATGAAATATTTTTTTTTCCTACCGGAGATTTTGAGTGAATGTTTCAGATTTTTTTATTCATGTTTTAGAAATGATCAAAGAAATTAACCAAATCAAATTAATTTAATTAATTAAATCAAAGAAATTAATTAATTAATAACGTTTAATTATTAATGATATCAAGAATCAATGATATATTTAATAATTAATAATTTTCCTTCGAAAAGAGTACATAATTATTTGCATTTTTTCTTCTTTTTATTGACCATTAACGGATGCAGAAATCACTTGCAGAATCTAAAATACGGGCGGATATCCTTTTGAATATACGTTGATGAATATTTTGAAGAATGATTAAAAAAATTATTTAAAAAAAATATTAATAAAATTAATATTACGTGGAATAACTACTCGTCCCACGAGTTATCTATCCTATCCACTGATCAAAAGAAAATTAAATGCCGATTTTTAGATTTATGTATATTAGTCATGCATATTATGCACTAATCTTTACTACTTTATTAATATGGAAAAATACAAATGTTTCTCCTGAATTTCAAGTTAATAGTAACAATTTTTGAGGAGGATCTGGATATACTTATTTTGGATTTAATTCGGAGATGTGCGAATATTGAATTCTCAGATAATGATAATGATAATAATGACTTATAACAAAACAATGAACTCGGAGTTTACTGTTATATTTAACTCGATAAAAACATTAAAAAAAAGAGTATATTATATTACCGGTTATACTGCGTTATGCTGGATTTACTATGCGAGGGTTTATTATGCGGGGGTTAAGTAATTTAGAAATTTATAAAATCCAGGATAATAAAATTATGGATTTTGTTTTTTAACGCATCCGCATTATAGCGCATGGGCTATTTTATTGGTTGAATTTCATAAATTTTTATCATATGACTAAATGAGGTTAGTTCAGGGTAAAATTTGTCACTCTGCGTCACACCTTTTGAATATCAATTTTTATTAGAAATCCTGGGAACTTAGAATTTTTTGGCATGTGAAAATAATATTCGTCACCCTTATCTGTCACCAATAAAATCCATGCGCCAAAACGCAGGTGCGTTAAAAAACAAAACCCTAAAATTATTATATTAATGGATTTGGCTGAATACTGAAATATAGTTTGTAATATAAATAAATCTAGATGAATCTAGATTTGGTAAAGTGGAATATAAGTAGAAAATTTTTATGCAAACGCAATTTGAGCAATTTCATCATTGGATATTTAGATGATCTTTCCGTGAATCAAACGAAGAAAGAATCATAAATTTTCGATATATGGAAAATTTAAGCCTATTATTAATTTACCATATTTTAAATTAATTAATTTATTTAACAAATATTTATTCAAAATATTTATATATTATTTATATATAAAATGTCGTCAAATATGTATTATTAATTTTTATCTACGTGTATCTTTTGATCTGATTTTTTCTTTACTTACTTATTAAACATGTCAAATGCCAAATTGACATGAAATATGTGAATTATCAGTTTTTAAATAGAAAAAAAAACAAAAAGTTTAAAAAAAAAAAATTTAAGATTAAAAAACATGTTATCAGTGTACAGTTAAATCTGTTTGTATAGATAAACAGATAGATACATATTTATTCTATAGATGAATATATTATATAACAAATCTAATCTAACTTTACCATAATCGTTCAATCTTTGTTATTTCTTCACTCATGTGAAAAGATTTTAAAGTAATGGAAAGTAATGGAAAGAAAAGAAGTGAAGTGAAGAGAGAGATAAGCATATTGCATTCTTTTCCCCCCACTTTTACCTATTGTTGTTGTTATTTTCATTAAATAAACGAAAACGCGTATATATAATGCATATATAAATGTTTATATATGCGTATGTGTGTATATAATCTGTATAAAATCTGTAAGTATATTTTAAAATATATAACATATATGATTTATTTGTTCTAATATATAGAATACCGATAAATGTGTTTTTGATTTGTGTGTTTTTAAAGTTTTTTTTTTTTTTTTTTTTTTTTGAAAAAAAAAAAAACGA